GGTGGTGGTGGTAATTGTCCCTGATTTAGATTGTTAATTACCATTGGAATTGGCAGTTTCAGGAGGATGCAAGAGTAGGGCCAGTGGCCAGCTGGGGGTGTTGATGGCACATCCAGCATCTTTTACATGTTCTCCTTTGGATATGATTCTGGAAATGTTGATAAGTGAGTTTCCTTGCCATTATCCTCTAGTTACAGGGACTAGTAAAGCAGACAGAGTCAATAGGGGAAGCATTTCTGTGGTGGAGTGTTTCCCTTAAACCCAGCACAGACAAAAGAGCCACTTCCCTGGCGGGGGTGGCTAAGCCAACTGGCAGAATGCAAGCAAGAGTTAACAATAGCAAGTAGGAGTCAAGGTCACCACATCATTTTACTTACCTGTCGATGGCGCCTGTCTTCTGAATAGGTATCTCAGGTTTTCCCCTGGCTCACAGGCGTACTGTTCTTCTGTTGTGACCTGTGAGATTTTTGGCGGAAAAAGCTTTAGTCTGGACAAATGTACCCAATCCCTTACAATCTGACAGCAGTGGGGGTGGGTAAAATTATGTTATAGGGGCCTTTCTACTTTGGTAATAGTTGGTCTTCAGGGGACCCCTCTTTCCAGATTTTAAGAAGAATGTGGTCCCCAGGGTTTCCTTGTGAAGGAACAACCCCTTCTGCTGTATTTCTAGTGGAGGTGGCGGTGCCTTGTTGTCATAGTCCTGGATTGCCTTCTGAATTTGTCCTAGATTCATAATATTTCAGGCTCTGTTCACTTCCTCATCTAGCAGAAAGTCAGTAGTAAGAAAAGCCTTCCCATGGGTCATTTCAAATTACTCCTGAGGGTACGTGAACCCTAAGGAGTGCAATGTGAGTCTCTTGGCAGTTTTTTCCCTAAGGTTTTCTTTAAAGTATGGTTCATTTTCTCTGCCTTCCCTGAAGATTGTTGTTCAGCTGCTCAGTCATGTCTGACTCTTTGCAACCCCAAGGACTGCAGCACACCAGGCTTTCCTGTCCTTCACCACCTCCCAGAGCTTGGGGGTGCCAATAAGTGTGACTTGTAGTTTATCCCTAGGGCTATTGTGAGCCCCTGTGTGATTCTGGCTATAAAAGAGGGATAACAATCACTCACGGGGACTTTGGAAGTCCACACTGAGGAATGATGTCTTTTATTTTTGCCATGCCATGCAACTTGAGGGATCTTAGTTCCCTGAACAGGGATCAAACCCATGCCCCATGCAGTGGAAGTAGAGAGTTCTAACCACTGGACAGCCAGGAAATTCCCAGGAATTATTTCTTTTAAAAGGGATTTAGAGTTCAGTAGCCTTTTCAGCGGAGAAGGCAATGGCACCCTGCTCTAGTACTCTCGCCTGGAAAATCCCATGGATGGAGGAGCCTGGTAGGCTGCAGTCTATGGGGTCGCAGAGAGTCGGACACGACTGAGCGACTTCACTTTCACTTTTCACTTTCATGCACTGGAGAAGGAAATGGCAACCCACTCGTGTTCTTGCCTGGAGAATCCCAGGGACGGCAGAGCCTGGTGGGCTGCCGTCTGTGGGGTCGCACAGAGTTGGACACGACTGAAGTGACTTAGCAGCAGCAGCAGCAGCAGCCTTTTCAGATTGGGTAGGGGAGGCATCAGCCCATCCTGTGAAAGTATCAATGAACATAAGAAAATATTTATGTCCTGACAGTGGGGGCATTTGGGTGATACCTAACTGCCAGTCTTCCCCTAGGTATGTTGAACTGGCCTGAATAATGAAGGGGAAATTGAATGGGCCTGTGGGTTATTATAGGCACACAGATCGTAGGCAAGGGTTACTTGTTTTACTGTTTTTTGAGTCCCTTCCCTGAAAAACTTTCAGCAAGTCCTATAGTGCATCCCTCCCATAGTGGGTGGCATCATGTAAACTCTTAGCAAGTTTCTACTGTTGGGCTTCAGAGATTAGAACAGTGTCCCCCTTTATGCTTACTTTCTCCTAACTCCATTTCTCAGCTTTTTCTTGTTCCCGTGAAGAATACTAGGGAAGGCTAGGGAGTTCGGGGGCAGAAACACTAGGGGCGTAACTTGCTCAGGCTCTTACAGTCAAGCTGCCCGTTTTGCAGCTCTATCAGCTTTGCCGTTCCCGTGGCTCACAAAAGGTCCATCCCTCTGACGGCTCCTACAGTGGATTACTGCAAGAGTCAGAATCAAATCTTTATGGTTTATAAAAGAATTTCCAGCAGTTAACATTTCTCTAGCTTTCTTAAGTACTAGGGCCACTGTACAGTTAACACAGCAACTCCCAATTTTTGATAAAGCCTGGTCATGGGTCATGGGACATTTGATCTTCACCTAAAGATAGATGGCAGTGATAAGCTTCAGAAATGAGCTTAGAGTATCTTATTAATAACTCAATTAAACTTTACAACAAAGAACTATCTGGGAAGTAGTCTTAGTAAGTACAGACCTTAAAACAGAATCAGAATTTGATGTATACTGAAACAATGTTTTTCTCTCTAAAATTACCCTTGTTTTTACTAAATATAGCCAAATTATAATTTATTTGATTGCAAATTAAGTCTGATTTCAAGAAACTGACTTGGTTACTTATGTATGGTTATATAGGTTATTTTATTGGGTTGGCCAAAAAGTTTGTTTGGTTTTTCTGTACCCTCTTATGGAAAGTGGTGACAAGGGCTTATCACAGATTTTGCTGTATAGATTTGGGTGGATCCCTCCCTTTTTGAAGTCTCCTCAAAAGATTCCTAACCTGTTAGGAAGTGGCCTTCCTTATTTACCTGATAAAGCTGCTGGGAACCTCTTAGTTTCCAGTTTCTGGAAAGATCAGGTGGAGGGAAAGGCAAACGTTTCAGATCTACTCAGGTGTACCAAATCGCTGTGAATTATAATTAGCATGACAGGAAGGGTTTCCTTATATCTGGAAAACACAGAATAAAAGCCAGTAATATCTCAGACAAAACTGAAAAATTATAACCATATCCTTCAGTTCACTTATTTAGCAGTTTTATAAGGTCATCAAGTTTACCCAATTTAGTGGTATGATATGAAAGTTATGAGAAACCTGTACTTGTCCAAATGCTGTCTCTGTAAATCTTCTTGAAGATGAAGCATTTTTGCAAAGCATCAGCTTAACTGTCTATGAATGACAAAAGACTTAAAAAGCACAGTTGAACATCTGATAACAATGTAATTGACAAACAAACTTGGTTATAGTAACTAGAAATTATGACTGATAATATTTCTATCAGGACATACCAGATTTTTAAGAATTTCATATAATTTCTAGTGTGTCTATATCAATATCATTTACCCATATTATGCAACCTAAGAATATTTAGTACTCATTTGACAGTGTTTCCCATGTAATTTAATACCAAATGAACCCAGTTGGTTTAGGATCTCTCTTTGGGATGCTTCAGCTGGAGGTCAAAATAATTTAAATTAGCATTTGATATTTGAAAGGTGTCAAAAAATACTAAAAAGTTTTAACACACTTGGTCATATAGGCTCACAGGTCCCTGTGAAACAATACTTATTTATTTAACCAAAGTGACAATAAAAGATTTCAAAGGGCAGATAAGTAACAGCTTAAAATGTAAAAGCAAGGAAATCTGCACAATCTGTTAGTAAAAGCAGCATTCCAAGAAAACTTTGTTCTCTTAAGAGAAAGAAACAAAATCCAGTCCTATGCTAGTCTACTCTTAATCCATTTATTTAGTTAAAATTGAATCCAATCTTAAAAAAATCCTGACCACGTACAAAACTCTTTTCCCAATGTTCCTTTTCTAGAAACTTCTCCAACTTTCTGTATCCTATATTATTCTGTCCCTCATTTTTTTTGTCATTTAGAAACAACCAGCTCTAGGACAAAACCACTTTTTTATCTTTTAACAAAATGCTTATACCTTCATTTACTGAAAACATGTTTCCTATTTTCCTTGCATACTGAAATGTTTTCCTCATAATTCTTAATCTTAGAGCATTAATCTCTAGCAAAAACTAAGAAGCAAGTAATTGTAAACTGTCGTATCAGCACTTTATGATAGGAATATCCCATAACCTCTAGAAACATGCATCTTCCCAAAGCATTCTTTCTTTCCTCAAATGGTACAAGATATGTGTCTAATAAACCCAACATCTGTACTTTCCCTCTTGTAAGAGAAAAATAGGTAAATTTAGACTGTTTAGCAATTAATGTTCCAATATTTTATCTTATTTGAAATGCCATGAATACTCAATGAGTTCCTATCATTTAACTTAATTCAGTGTCAAGTTACCAAGATTTAGAGAAACTTTTAGATGGACATTTTCAAAACTTATCATTCCTAGGTGTGTGTTTGTGCTCAGTCACGCCTGACTCTTTGTGACCCCATGGACTGTAGCCTGCCAGGCTCCGCTGTCCATTCTCCAAGGCAAGAATACTAGAGTGGGCTGCCATTTCCTTTTCCAGGGGATCTTCCTGACCCAGGAATCAAACTTGTGTCTCTTGCATCTCCTGCATTGGCAGGCGGGTTCTTTACCACTAGCGCCACCTGGGAAACCCCAATTATTCCTACAGAGTTTACCAAAAAGCTGTTATCTCAGTTACATTTACTGAAAAGTTTAATTATATCAGGTGATTTTCCTTATTGACAAATTTTATAACAGAAGCAATATGCAGTTATTGACTTTCAGTAACCCTAAGAACAATAAAAGTATTTTACTTAATGTTGATGACCCTAAAGACAGGTTTGTATTAATTAAACCTACAAGCTTAAGCCAACTTTATTCTAGATATTAATTCAATATTGACTGTTTCCCAGGTCACATGAACCTGAAATGTAGTCTGGTGAATTTCTTTTGTATTGCTTAGAATTTATATAAATGCTTAATTTACTTTAAGCTAACTAACTACTCATTTACATGTTAATTATGTAACATGTTAAATTTACAAGTTAATTTTTTACAAGTTAACTTGTAAAAGTTACAAGTTAATTTCTAACTTAAAAATTTACAAGTTAGTGTTTACATTTACAAGTTAATTTTTACATAATGAGACACAGCACTAAAGACCATACAGTTTTCTGGCTTGAGTTTTAAAAGGCTTCTTTTCTTTTCCTCTTCAGTCTGGGGGCTGCAGATTCTGGATCAGATAGTTCCTGAAAGCCCAGGCATAACAGTTACATTTTAAAGACTGGGCAGAGAAATGCAAGCTCCTTCCCCCTGCTCCCTGTTCTTTAAAGCCCTACTAAGTAACCTAAGGCTGCAGTCTCAGGCAATGTGGGCTGTGCTTGTATTTTAAGGCTTACGTGCTCAACCCACAGGCACAATGAGGTGGAGACTTGCAGGAGTGGCTGGACAGACAAAACCACATAAAACAAAGATCCTGATACATTCACTGACTAAGAGTCAGCAGGTATCAATGACAGAAACCTAAGGACACAAACAAGAAACGAAGACATGGTATTATTGCAAGGTGGCCTCTGGAGGACTTTGTCCAGTCCAACTCCTTTCTCGACTAGCCCTTCTGCCAGCTGGACCACAAAACAGAAAAGTGTGGGGTTCATGAAAACAGGTGAGCAACAAGGAGTCTCCAAGGCAAAAAGGATGGGCGGGTAGATAAGAGAACCAAGGGAGAGGTAAAGGGAGGCAGGACTGAAAAGACTGGAAAAGAGAAAGAGATTGCCCATCTTACCCACCTTCTGTGGATGTCTGTTCAGGCACCAGACTTTGTGCTTCCAGAATGGGCCAGTGAAGGAGGTAACACCCTGTCCACTGCCCACCAGGTCATCAGGCCTGAAACCAGCCAACTGTAAGTCATCTGTGGGACTCCAACCCACAGGTGGGACCCTCACCTGCACATATATCAGTATATAGAAATAAAATCCCTTATGATTATACAGTGGAAGTGACAAATAGATTCAAGGGATTAGATCTGATAAACAGAGTGCCTGAAGAACTATGGACGGAGGTTCGTGACATTGTACAGGAGACAGTGATCAAGACCATCCCCAAGAAAAAGAAATGCAAAAATGCTGTCCGATGAGGCCTTACAAATAGCCGAGAAAAGAAAAGACATGAAAGGCAAAGGAGAAAAGGAAAGATATACTCATTTGAATGCAGAGTTCCAAAGAACAGCCTTTCCTCAGTGATCAGTGCAAAGAAATAGAGGAAAATAATAGAATGGGAAAGACTAGAGATCTCTTCAAGAACATTAGAGATACCAAGTGAACATTTCATGCAAAGATGAGCTCAATAAAGGACAGAAATGGTATGGACCTAACAGAAGCAGAAGATACTAAGAAGAGGTGGCAAGAATACACAGAAGAACTTTAAAAAAAAAGATCTTCATTACCCAGATAATCATGATGGTGTGGTCACTCACCTTGAGCCAGACATCCTGTAATGTGAAGTCAAATGGGCCTTAGGAAGCATCACTACAAACAAAGCTAGTGAAGGTGATGGAATTCCAGTTGAGCTATTTCAAATCCTGAAAGATGATGCTGTGAAAGTGCTACACTCAATATGTTAGCAAATTTGGAAAACTCAGCAGTGGCCACAGGACTGGAAAAGGTCAGTTTTCATTACAATCCCAAAGAAAGGCAATGCCAAAGAATGTTCAAACTACGGCACAATTGCACTCATCTCACAAGCTAGCAAAGTAATGCTCAAAATTCTCCAAGCCAGGCTTCAGCAATACGTGAACTGTGAACTTCCAGATGTTCAAGCTGGATTTACAGAAGGCAGAGGAACCAGAGATCAAATTGCCAACATCCACTGGATTATTGAAAAAGCAAGAGAGTTCCATAAAAACATCTATTTCTGCTTTATTGACTACGCCAAAGCCTTCAACTGTGTGGATTCCAATAAACTGTGGAAAATTCTGAAAGAGATGGGAATACNGTGTCGGAGAAGACTCTTGAGAGTCCTTTGGACAGCAAGGAGATCAAACCAGTCAATCATAAAGAAAATCAGCCCTGAATATTCATTGGAAGGACTGATGCTGAAGCTGAAGCTCCAATACTTTGGCCATCTGATACGAAGAACTGACTCATTAGAAAAGACCCTGATGCTGGGAAAGATTGAGGGCAGGAGAAGAAGGGGATGACAGAGGATCAGATGGTTGGATGACATCACCAACTTGATGGACATGAGTTTGAGTAAGTTCTAGGAGTTGGTAATGGACAGGGAAGCCTGGTGTGCTGCAGTCCATGGGGTCACAAAGGAGAAATCTGATGATTTAGCCTATTCCATCCCAACCAGACTTCTTGGCAGCAGGAAAATAAAGGTGATAATATTAGGATGATCAGACTTCTGGCCACTACAGGATATGAGGTTTGAACCTCTGTTGCTCTCATAAATCTCCCGTCAGCTACAGCCTGCTAGACCAAGATCTGCAAGGTGTGAGGTAAGCCTCTCCCATCTCTGTCTACCTTAAGGTGACCCACTGATGGCCAGAAGGAGAAGGTCTTACAAACTGAGAGGAGTGACAGTGTAGCTGTGTGATGTCCACTCCCTCAGAAGGATAGGACAGAAGCAGGAGAAGGTGGAGAGGATGGAGAGAGGAGAAGCAAAGCGATATCAGGGGAGAAAGGGGGCAAAGGGGGCGGGGAAAGCAGTGAGAGTGAAAGGATAAAGGGGCAGAAGACAGCGTTGCCGGAATGCGGGTGCTGAGGCCCTCAGGGGCCAGGAAGGCAGACTCATCTAGGGTGGTGATGCTGCAACGGGAGGTTCAGGGGGCTGCTGCACACAAAGGATGCTGCATTCGGTGGCCCTGGAGGTGCCCAGATCCTCTCCCGGGAAGGGGAGAGCGTCCCTTTGCAGAGTATGTTACTGATAAAGGTTCCTGGGCTCCTTAATTAATAGAAATTGGTAAGAGGTGAGACAAGAAATTTTGGTAAGGCTTTACTGGGACTCCTGTTGCAGCAGGAGGGTGCAAAAACAAGTAAGAGGTTCCCTTGCTGGGTCCCTGATGGAGGGGTAAGCTGGTTCCTTCTGTGGGCTGGGGGGTAGGGGTGGGTGAGGGTTTAGGCCTGAAGGGTGGCTTAGGTGGTCTGCCCACCGTCTTGATGGTGCCATGTGCAGGGTGCATGTGCAGTACCCTGCTTCTGCTCCTGCCTCCTCAGAAGAGGCAGTTGGGTTTTTGGTGTTTTTGTGTCTTGTTCATGATGTGCCCAATTATCTATGCACGCCAGGTTGTTTTCAGTCTCTTATGGTTCCCTCTGTATCTTGTTGCTCTGTCCAGGGGCAAGCACTGAAGCCAACAGTCCCTGGTTTCAGGCCCCAGCCTGTCTCAACCTCATTTCCTTATTCATCCACAGCAAATGTCCTAAGCGTCTACCCCAGGCCAGATCTTGCTCGAGCTTCTGGAGACACAGACACACTGTGCACCGACTCTGAGCTAGCCCCGCCCGGCCACAGTCCTTCTGTGGCCGCTGCGCTCACTGCTGGGGAGGGAAGGTCGGTGGGGCTCAGAGAGCTTACAATGTGGGGAATGACCACAGAAAAAGAGAGGGCCTCCCCGGGAAAGCGGGATTAGCTGTATGACCCAGGGGAGAGGAGCAGTTCTCAGGAAAGGATTGATCAGCATAAGTGATCAATGCCAGTCCGGTGCAGCTCAGTGAGCGAGGTCTGGGACCGACGGGGGCAGGGCACAGTGCTAGGATATAGCACAGTCTGTCAGGGATTTGTGTTTGTACCCTTGAAACTGTGGGATCTGTCCAAAGCAGGAAAAGGAACGGGGGCTGTGGTGGGAGTGACAGTCTTATTTGCATTTTGAAATGATCACTGTGGCAGGCATGAAGAAGGAACTGAAGACTTACAGAGGAAGCAGGAAGACCAGCCAGTGCCTGGGGTAGGGAAAGGGGTCCAGAAGGTGCCACTGTGACATACAAGTTATTTTGAACTGAAGACATTGGAGAATATAAGCTCCCCGCCCCCAGAATTCCCTTACCTGTCTAAAAGCAGAGCCTCCCAAAAGAATTCCAGTGTCCTAAATCCCCTCATTAGGAGCAATGAGAGAAAGATTTGTAATAGGGAAGAACATATGTGACTTCATATTAGATCTGTTTCTTTTACCTTTAGAATACTTTTAGAATATCTTTTTATTAATAACTCAAATAGGATACCTTTGTATTCTATTTGAGTTTAAAATATTGCAGATAGCCTGAATACAGCCTGTATACAGGCTAGCCCATTATCAAGGCTCTGACCTTTAAGGATATAACACTTTTCCATTTATATAAAAAGTCGCAGAGAGTAACATTTGTCTTGTTGGAGCTTTACAGGAACACTGTGATCTGACTTATGTGGACCAAGAAGTGTGCAACAACCAACCATGCCCTCCCTCATCTTGCCTTTAAAAATGCTTTGCTCAAACCCTTTGGGGAGTTCCAGGTTTGAGGGGCACGAGCCACCCTTTATCCTTATGTGACACTGCAATAAACCTTTCTTGGCTTCAAACTCGATGTTTTGGCTTGTGTGGCCTCACTGTATCAGGCACACAAACTTGCTCTTCAGTAACAGATTGAGTCTTTTCACCTGATAACCCAGAGAGACATTGTCACAAACTTCTAAATAGTCTCCTAAGGACCTGAGGAAGGAGAAAGATGGGTCCCTGGGCTACACAGGTGGTGTTTGTCAAGTGGAGTAAAACTGAAGCTTTTTCTCACCCACACACTCCAAGGACAAAGCTAGTGGTGAAAGCTGAGCTCTGCTAAAGTGAAGAGGTGAGGTACCAAGTCCTGAGGTCAAGGAAGACCTCCCTGTCTGCGTGTGCTCGGGAAGGCTTCTTGAGGGCCGAAAAGGGAGGGGGCTCACTCCACAGTAACCGTGGACATGCATGCACCCATTCTCTGTGGCGGGATCCATCATGGAAACAAGTTGGGCGCATATCTTGGGGAAAGTCCTAGGGCAGTCAGGTGTGAAGGAAGAAATGATAAAGGTCAAAGGTAAACAAAGACCTGGAAGGACTGTCCTATGTTTAAGGGATTTAAATCCCCTTTCTCCTGCACTCCTCACTTAGGACGCCCACACCCTCCACTGGCTATACATCTCGGCCTAGCTTCTGACACCGCGGTCCTCCCCATTAGAGAGGACGCCCATGTCCTGTCTCTGGGTGCCTATTTCTGCCTCGCTTCTCTTAACCACATCGTCTGTCTCTGTGCTCTCCCATACATTGTGCTGTGTCCCTAATAATAAACTTTGAATCTGTTTTTACAGTTTTTGCCTCCTTGAAACATTCTTGCTTTCAGATGAGAGGGAAGAGCCAGGGAACTTTGCTTCTAGCCTCTTATCCCCTGGTGGTCTAGTGACTAAGATTCCAAGTTTTCATCCAGGCTTTGTTGTTGTTCAGTCGCTCAGTCGTGTCCGACTCTTTGTGACTGCAGGGACTGCAGCACACCAGGCTTCCCTGTCCTTCACCATCTCCCAGAGTTTGCCCAAACTCATGTCCATTGAGTCGGTGATGCCATCCAACCATCTCATCCTCTGTCATCCCCTTCTCCTCCTGCTTTCAATTTTTCCCAGCATCAGGGTCTTTTTCAATGAGTCAGCTCTTTACATCAGATAGCCAAAGTATTGGACCTTCAGCTTCAGCATCAGTCCTTCCAATGAATATCCAGGCTACTTAAGTTTAATTCCTGGACAGGAAACTTAAGATCTCTCTTTAGGACTGTTCACTGCTCTCCCTCTGAGATCAGATCCATTTATCTTTCTTAAAGGTCATGTGTTTTCCATGTAAGTACCTTTCTCCCCCTCTCTCCTTTGCTCCCCCATTAAATTGATATAGAAGCCCCCAGTTCTAATACATGAATAAAAACGTTTTCTTGCTAATCTATCTCTTGTTGGTTTAATTCAGGCCTCTGTGGTTTAATTTGGTTTTAAATTAGTAGTACTAATTTAAAGTACTACTTTAAATTACTGAGTTTAAAGTA